TTAATGGAAATAAAATACTGTTTAAATCAGATTTCTGGATCATTATTTCCTATATCGTTTAAGTTAGCCTGATTGCAGATCTCTTGAAATTGGTCCCAGTTAGCTTGGTTATAACGGAATTTTGGTTCTTGATTTTCTGTTTGGATTGGTACGTTTGTATCACCTGTGGTTTTGTTTATGGGGAAGTGGGACATCGTGTACTTCCCATTGAGTACTTTGGGCTAGATCTGCGGTGCATATAGTTAGGTCGATAGCCGACATTTTTTGGTTACCCTTATCGTATCTCGTGGGTTGGTTGCTATTTAGGAGTACTAGGTCGTTAGTTTCTATCCATTCGGAAATTAGTTTGCCATGATTATCCATTTTATCATCTATGCTCCAGGTAGGATGGTGAGCGTTTAGGTCTCCTAGGAATATAGTGGATTTATTGCTTATCTTGAGTAGCTTATTTAGATCCTCAGATTGGATTTTTTGTTCTACCCAGTGGTATATATTAATGATGTTTATTTTTTGTTATTTAATGTGATTTGAATGCCGTTTGCTTCTAGGTTTGGCGTGTCTATCTTTATTTCTTCGTAGTTTATATCTTCCCTGATATATATTATTAGTCCTCCTGCGGCTCTACCTGTTTTGGGTTTGGCTCGATCAGTTCTAACTAAGTTATAGTTTGGTAGTGTGAATTTGGATTTTTTGGAGAATTTAGTTTCCTGAATACAAGCAATATGTGGTCCTTTATCTCGTTTAAATTTAGTTTTTAGTTCATGGCCGTGGGAGGTAGGTCCGTTGGCGTTCCACTGAAAAATATTTAGTCCTTCCATTATTGGGGTCGGGTGGTTGGTAATTTTGTTTTAGTTTTGTTTTACTTGGTGACTTCTTTTAGGTGGAGGTTAAAGAGGAAGAAGGGGAAGTTGGTTAAGTTTAGATTGAATGTTAGTTTGTGGAAGGATTTCATGCTAGCTTTAGGTGAGTTTTGACTATGCATGTAGGCTAGGAGTAAAGTGAGACTATTTAGGTTTTTGATGTTGGTTAATTGGGTTTTTTTGCGGTTTAGTTTTTTGTTTCTTTTAGGGGCTGAGAAGGTAGTTTCATTTGTTTTAGTTGGAGTAGTTTCGATTGTTTCTTCAGTTGTGGAGAACTCTTCGTCATCGGTTAAGTTAGATTTAGCTGTTTGGGTTTCAATAGGGGTGGCTCGCGGTATGGAGGGTATATTATTCCAGTTTATCATTGTCCCTTTCCTATGTTTACAAGCAATGTAATTGTACATAAAACTACTTGTCCCCAATACTTTCCTGCTATTTTTTACATACAAGTGTTTGTAATATGCACCTACCTTTGTATTTGAACTATTAATGACAAACGTTTATTTGCACTTTTGGTTTACCGTGATATAATCTACATATATATGGTATCACATAATAAATGAAATCTGTTTTGTGGTAACCAGACTTCACAGGATCTGTTCAATATTATGTCAATATGAGGATTTTCTCACTGCTTTTCAATGGATGGCTATGGCTATTAAAGTGAAACTACTTTCCCTGGGAAATTATTTCCGCTACATGGCTCCAGACAAGGACTGTATGTACAAATGCAAATATGCGAGATAAGATGTATGAATTAAGGAAAGTACCTGATATCTGTGTATGGCCAAAGCTTTATTGAAATGTTACTTTTATGTTTTGAGCAACCTCTTGACATCATCATCATCATATCTAAGTGCTCACTGCTGCTACACAAACTTAATACATAATGTTCTTATATTTCTATTTAAAAAAACCAGACGTTCAGCCATTGCCTGTTGGCAAACAAGGATGAGCTGAATTAACTCTTAGCAGCTTTTCGAAAATCGAGCAACTGAGAGAGTGGATTAAATTTATTTAGGTGTATTAAGTATGGGAAATTTACTCCAAGTCTGATACATGTACATGTTTCTGAATGAAATATTTATATGGAGGGTTGTGTTTGTGCTTGAGGGTTGGGTGTAGCTGTGGACTCCTTAGCGTTTGTGTTTTTTTGTTGTGCTTGCTTGTGGGGGAGTGTTGTTGCCATGTGGGCTGTAGAGTGTTTGGATAAGGGTTGTGTTGTGGTAGTCGTTTTGTGGTTTGTTTTGCATGCGGGTGTTGATGTTGTGGCTATGTGAGGTATGGGAGAGTTGGTGGGTGGTTGTGTGGCTGCATGTGTGTGTGAGGTGGGTGCGGTTTCTCGGTAGGGGCCCCAGCCGGAGCTGTCGGTTATGGGTGTGGTGTTTGTTTGAGGGATGGTGTTTGGGTGCGGTGTAGGGAGATGTGGTTTGGATGCGGGTGATGCAAATTTTCGTGTTTGGATTTTGGCCGTTTCTATGTTTATGTGTTTGTTGGCCTGCTGGGAGGGGGTGTATCTGTGAGGGCATTGGTTTGATAGTGAGGTGTGCTTAAAGAACTTGCAGTAGATGCACCAGGGTGAGCATGTGCCTGGGCAGTCTGTTTGTGCGCATTTTTTACATTTATTTTTTTATTTTTAAATGTGCATTGGGAGGCAGTGTGATTATATTTGAGGCAGTTGGAACATTGTTTGACCTGTTTTATGTTGGGTTTGACTTCTAAGTTAGTGTGGGCTCCGAAACATATGTGTTTAGGGGCTTCGGGAAATTTAGCGGGTTTTTTTAAGTTTATGATTACAATTGATTTAAACAGTATTTTATTTCCATTAATGTTCAGATTTTACATTACATAGCATTACAAAATGGAAAAAGGATTAGCAAACAGGCCAAAAAGGCCTATATTAATGCTTCTCCTAATATTGTACATTATACATGTAGATTGTAATGAAGTCTATAGAGCAGACATTAATGAGTGACACAACATGAAATAAAATGGAAAGCAAGATACCAAATGCATTTTATATTCTTAAGTTGACACATAACTTACGTTAAGCGGTTTGTTTCAATAAAGTAATTGTGAACTGATTTTATAATGTGTTCATTGTCTGAGGAAGATGAATCTTCATTGCCCTGTATGTATAGTATGTATGCTGAGCTGGTTAACAAAAAAGTATTTATCAATTCTAAACTTGGCATAGCGTGGATAGAAAAAAGTGGAAAGCATCTTCTCTATTTAGGCCAGATGGACAGATGGGATTATCAATCAGAAATCTGTCAAATAAATGTGATTTTAAATCACTACAACCTAGCCTAAATCTAGATAAAATCACCTGACATTGCCGCTGGCCATAACTAGCAAAAGATGTAAAATTTGAAGTAAGCTTAGTTTCTCTAGAAATTAATTGCTTAAACCGAGATAAGGAATCTACATTTCTAATATTAATATCAAGTGCATTCCAAGCTTGTATAACAGATGACAAAAAAGATCGATTATACTGGGATAAGCGTCCTGCACTGGTCTGGAAGTCATTAGAAGTACGAAGGTTATATCCAGTTATGCTGGATATATTAGGTGGGACCCATAAAGATAGATATTTAGGAGTTAGCCCATTGACCATTTTGTAAAATATACATAATTTATGGTAATGTCGTCTTTCGGACAGTGAGCATAAACCCGTTTCCCAATAAAGTTTTTTGTGACTGGTTCCTCGTACTGCTCCAAATATTGTTCGTAGAGCATCCAAGTGTAAATTTTCTAATAGTTTTACTTGTTCATTATTACAATTATCCCAAATATTATCACAATAATCAAAATAGGTAAAATAAAAGATTTGTACATGGTTTCGAGCGTTCTTCGATTTAGACGGTATTTCAGGCTACGCAAACAATTAATTAATGGGCTCACTTTACGTACAATATATTCAATGTGTTTGTGCCTAGATGTTTATGATCACTTACTTCGGGTATTAGAATATCATTCATTCGCAGAGGTAATTTAGGACTAGGATTAATTTTAATAGAAAATAACATGGCTTCCGTTTTGGAAGGACTAAATTTCACCTGCCATTTACTTGCCCAGTTTGATATACATTCTAAATCACTATTCAATATAGCTGCTGTGGATTCGGGATCTTCAATAGTTAGAAATAAAGATGTATCATCAGCAAAAAGTTTAATATTACTCGTTATCCCATGATTACAATTGAGGTTGGAACCGTTTTTCAGTTTCTAGTTGAGGTGATTCTGCGGGTACTTGAGATTTGAGGTTGAGAGTTTAGGTCTTGGTTTATGTTTGCTTCTAGGGAGAGTTCTAAATTGTTTCTCTTGGATTGACTCTAATTACGCCTCGTGTGTATTGCTGCCAATTTTGGTATTTGTTTGATTACGGTAACGTGGAATATTTGAGTTAATTTATTGGCTTCATTGTGGGATTCTTGGTTAGGGAAAATTATTTGGTATCCTTTGTTGGCTTTTTTAAGGTTGCTGTAGTTTATCTTTTCTCGTTTGAACCAGAGTCCTATTTTGTGTATTGAAATTTCATGTGTGAGTGAGGTGCCTGAACCTGTGGAGAAGAAGTAGAGGGTGAAGGTGGTGAGGAAGGCAGCCGAGGAGGGTAAGGGCGATGGAGGTGTCGAGTTTGTGTTTTTTCGGGTTGGTGTTTTGAGGTGGCGAGATGGATGGCTTGGTGGGGGTGGTGTGTTTCGTGTTTTCGCCATACTCGTACGGGACGATGTTTTCGAGTGACCTCTCGGAAGTGTGTTGTGCGCTTCCGCAGGCGTGGGTGAGTCAGGAGCTGGGATGTCTGCGACTGTGACACTGCGGGTGTCAGTCATGTTTGTTTGGGTGTTGTTGTTTGAGTGTTTAAGAGCGTGAGTTGTGGTGAGTGGTAATGGAGTGGAAGTGGAGAGTGGTGTTTTGGGGAGGTGAGTTGTTTTGAGTGGAGTTTGTTGTTTTAACTGGGTGAGTTGTGTTTAGGAGGTTGAGGAGGGCTTGGGTATTAAGGGTGTTGGTTTGCGGTTTTTGTGTTGTGTTTTTAGAGGGTTTTAAGGCTTATACCTATTTAAGAGGTGGCTTGGGTATGAGTGTTGTTTGTATGGAGTTCGCTTGGTGTAGAACAATGGATGAGTGTTTTTATAATTACCTTTGAAGTTCTCATTGGGCTGGCTATTAGGCGAAGCTGTGCTGGCTTGGGAGGCTTTGAGGCTAGAGATGTGTTGGGTTGGGGTATAAACTGCAACTGAAGTATACTAAACTTAAAATACCCAAAATAGACACAACACTAGCTAGCCAAATAAATAAACAAACCGACCCAAACATAGCTAAAACTACCACACTAGCATACATACACGAAAATTGGCCAAATTGGTGTCACATTTACACGGACGGATCCTCAGATCCGACCTCCAAACACACAGGTTTCGGAGTCCATACCACACAACCAACTAAAACCACACAATCCTTCCGACTCCCAAACAACCAATCAATATTCACGGCAGAACTAATGGGCATGGCCTCAGCCCTCCATAATCAAAAATCCAAAAACCACAAAAAAAATCCTAATACTTACCGACTCCCTAAGTGGACTGCAAGCCCTCCAAAACAAAAATACCAAAAACCGACCTAAATTCATAAATCAAATACTTAAAAGCTCCAACGACCTATCTGAGGCAGGCAAACAAATAACCTTCTTGTGGATCCCCGCCCACGTAGGAATATACGGTAATGAAAACGCCGATAAAGCAGCTAAACTATCCCTCAAAATCCCAGAAATAAGCTTAAACTTACCCATCTCAAAATCAGAAATTAAAAGTGTAAACAAGCAAAAAATCACACAAAAATGGCATAACCTATATCTAAACTCAAATAGCCAAATCAAAAAAGTGCTCAGCAAACCACTAACCAAACCAAAAATTCTCCATCCATCCAAAAAAATCGACAGAGTAATCACTAAACTCCAAACAGGACACACCAACCTAAATAACAACCTAAAAAATTTTAAAAAACACACTACAGGTAACTGCCCACACTGCAAACAACCAGAAACACCAGAACACGCACTCATCCACTGCACACACTACCTAACACATCGAACCGCATTACAAACCCCCCTCAATCTAAACAAGGCTCTAAATCTAGAAGCAATACTAAACCCACAAAATAAACTAGAAAACTTCAAGGCCTTAGGCGTATTCTTAATAAAAACGGAACTAATAAAACGCATCTAAAAACACAATAACCTACCAAATCAAAATCATATAAACAAACAAACATCCACCATACCCAGCTCCCTTAGTTCTCCTCCCCAATCCCATCGGCATCTATTCCAAATCTCAAAATTCCCAAATTCTATATAAGCAACCCCTAAAACCCCCCTCTTGGGTTGCACAGACCACCTTTGCCCCTTTCGGAAACACATTAAATGGCCTGGCCGGGCCCGTGTGCGAAATACGCATCAGTCGGAAAGCGCACGTTAAATCTCCAAAGTAAGTAAGTAAGTATATAGTATAGAATCCAAAAACCACCAAAAAAAATCCTAATACTTACCGACTCCCTAAGTGGACTGCAAGCCCTCCAAAACAAAAATACCAAAAACCGACCTAAATTCATAAATCAAATACTTAAAAGCTCCAACGACCTATCTGAGGCAGGCAAACAAATAACCTTCTTGTGGATACCCGCCCACGTAGGAATATACGGTAATGAAAACGCCGATAAAGCAGCTAAACTATCCCTCAAAATCCCAGAAATAAGCTTAAACTTACCCATCTCAAAATCAGAAATTAAAAGTGTAAACAAAGAAATCACAAAAAATGGCATAACCTATATCTAAACTCAAATAGCCAAATCAAAAAAGTGCTCAGCAAACCACTAACCAAAAATTCTCCATCCATCAAAAAAAAACGATAGAGTAATCACTAAACTCCGAAAAGGACACACTAACCTAAATAACCACCTAAAAAAAAAACACACACACTACATGTACAGGTAACTGCCCACACTGCAAACAACCAGAAACCCCAGAACACGCACTCATCCACTGCACACACTACCTAACACATCGAACCGCATTACAAACCACCCTCAATCTAAACAAGGCTCTAACTCTAGAAGCAATACTAAACCCACAAAATAAACTAGAAAACTTCAAGGCCTTAAGCGTATTCTTAATAAAAACGGAACTAATAAAACGCATCTAAAAACACAATAACCTACCAAATCAAAATCATATAAACAAACAAACATCCGCCATACCCAGCTCCCTTATTTCTCCTCCCCAACCCCATCGGCATCTATTCCAAATCTCAAAATTCCCAAATTCTATATAAGCAACCCCTAAACCCCCCTCTTGGGTTGCACAGACCACTTTCGCCCCTTTCGGAAACACATTAAATGGCCTGGCCGGGCCCGTGTGCGAAATACGCATCAGTCGGAAAGCGCACGTTAAATCTCCAAAGTAAGTAAGTAAGTAAGTATATAGGTATAAGTTCGTTCGTTGGTTCAGTTCACAAGTTATTCATTCATACAGACTCCATTTTCACAACACCCATACATTCAGATACCCATTTCCCAGGACTTACGCCCACACATAGACGGTCTAAACATCACATGGCAAACTCCAAAATGGCTTACATCAATACAAGGGGTTATATACATAGATCACATGGACACACAGGAAGATATAATGGAATACATACACACAGCAAACTGCAATAAAAAACAAAAACACAGCCCCAGCCACTGGATTAGACAACATCAGTTACAAAATTCTCAATCATATCCCCATCAAAATTCAAAAATTATTACTGCAACTTTACAACCAAATTTGGACCTCTGGCTACCTCCCGAAAACCTGGAAAAATGCACTGGTGGTGCCAGTTCTGAAACCAGGGAAACCCCCAAATGACCCAGACTCTTATCGCCCCATCTCACTCACATTACATTTATCTAAAATCATGGAATCAATAATTAATAACAGACTAAAGCATAAAATCCAAAACAATGGCCTTATTAAAGAGGACCAGAGCGGCTTCACAGCCAATAGACAGACTTTAGACCATATTTTAAATCTAGAACATGATGTTAAGACAGCCCAAATACAAAAACAATACACTGTGGCCATTTTTATTGATTTTTCTAAAGCATTTGACATGGTTTGGCAACAAGGCCTAATTCAAAAATACTAGACAAAGCCATTGATGGAAGAATTTTAAATTTCATTCACTCTTTCTTAACTAACAGAAACATAACAGTAAAATCAAACAACACACTATCAGAACCCCACCAACTAGAAAATGCCCCCCCCCCCCCCCCCCCCCCCCCCATTTTCCCAAATCTACCTAAAAACATAACTACAGCAAAATTCGCCGACGATATCTCATTGTGGACGTCATCAACATCAATAAAAAAAATCGAAAAAAGAATTAAACCAACCCTTTCGGACCTAGAGCACTGGGCTTCCCAATGGGGGTTCAAAATTAATACCAAAAAAACCATCAGCATAGTATTCACAAAACCCTTCATGCCAAATTTATCACCCAAACTCACACTTAATAAAGAAGCTATCAAATTTCAGAAGATACAAAATTTCTAGGAGTCACATTTGACCAACACCTGACATGGGCTCCCCACATTAATAACGTGGTCAATTCCTGTCAAAAACACATCAACCTAATGAGAGCCATCAGCGGCTCTCACTGGGGAGCTGACAAACAAACACTCATAAATATATACAAAACACTTATTCAAGCCAAAATAGACTATGCCGCTCCGGTCTTCCATTCCTTAACAGAAAACCTGGAAAAAAAGCTTAACTCAATCCAATATAAAGCCCTCAAGATAGCCCTGGGGACCAGAAATGGCACCTCCCTTAACACACTACAAATCCTCACAGGCATCACATCAATACAACTTAAACGTCACCAATCAATACTTAACTACTGGGCTGGGGCCCAACAAAACCCCATATACAAAGAAATAACACTGAAATACCAAAACTCTAGACCAGCCACCATCAAAAAATTCAAAAACAACAAAAACAAAGCCCCCTTCATTACCCACCTTCACAACCTCATCAAAACCTACAATCTAGAACATATAACTCGCACACCCCCAAACAATTCATACATCCTTGATCCCCCCCGAAACAGACACATCCTTAACCATAACATTCAGAAAACATAACAAACTCACAAATATAGTAAAAGGCACAATATCACTAAACTACATCCAAGATAACTGGCCGGAACACACACACATCTATACAGATGCATCATATAATACAAACAACAACAAAACAGGGCTGGGGATCCATACAACACAGCCTACACCAGTCACCAAAAAATACCACTACTCAAACTATTCCCTTACAAATACAGCAGAATTACTAGCCATACTCCAAGCATACCATCAAGCCGAAACAACAAACCACAACAAAATCATCATTATCTCTGACTCACTAAATTCAATAAAACAAATTGCAGACAAACACTCAAAAACCAGACCCGACCTTATCAAACAAATAGTAAATATTCACTCAAAACTTAATATGGCAAACAAAACAATAGCACTAGTATGGATACCCAGCCAAACAGGCATACCAGGCAATGAAATCGCAGACCAAACAGCAAAAACAACAACAATCGACCAATCACCCACAATACAATTCCATACAAGCAAAGCCGAAACAAAAACATTAATAAAACACACTATAAGACAACAAAGCTTCCATAACAACATACAAAAATGCAAATCACAATGGATTAAAACACTGTTTACCACCCTAATTACTAAGTGCAAGAACTACACAAACTCCATATTAGCAGATAAAATTATAAACAGAATACAAAGTAATCAAACAAATTTAAACGAAACACTCCATAAACAAAACAGACATCCAAACCCTAACTGCATCCACTGTAACACCACTGAAGACATAAACCACATATTCAACACATGTAGAAAATATAAACAACAACAACAAGCACTATACAACTCTCTTCCGCCCAACTACAAAAACAACGTCACCATGTTATTCAAACCAAACAACCCCCCAGCCACCTACCTGCAAATAGCCACTTTCCTTAAAGAAACAATTTTATCAGCAAAAATTTAGTCCATCCCAATCAAATTCTCTATGTAAATAAATCTCCCTCTACTCAGCAATACTTCAGATTCGGATCGGGATCCAAATTCTCAGCGCGGACTGTCTTCTACGACGTCCGCGCTCCAAAATCTCAG